TCCATATCTCCTTAGCATCCAGAAAACCTACTATTGGCAGGGGACAGACTTTGCTGTCTTGCTGCCTCAAGGGAGAGGAAAAGATGACAGGCAAAAGCATTTTTTTTCCTGAGAAAAGTGTGTTGAAATCTTGTGGCAGCATTGAAAAAAATACCTATGGGGCAGGGAGGTGGGGGAGAATGCTCCAGTTTTCTGTCATTCTGGCTGGGCTTTATTCTGTCAAGCATGAAGAGAAATATGCATCATCTTTTCCATATCAAAATTTGCACAGTGTTTGTGCTCATGCTAAACGCAGTTCTGGCCTGTGGTGCCAAAGATCTCCTAGTAATATTTACACAACCACAGAATCAGAAGAATGGCGCATTTAAAGGGACTGCAGCTGTCATACAAAAAAAGACATACATATTAGCACATTTAAGAACATGCCATTTTTTTCACTAATTATAAGTTTTGGGCACTACTAAAGAGATTTCCCTTAATGGCTACCCTGCCAACAGCTGGGATATTCATTGAGACCTGTCCTTAAGGAAATACACCTCTCTGCGGTCTGAGAGCCTTAACAGCGTGGTTCTTACAAACACATACTTAAGTGGAGCTTAGGAGTTACATGCTTCGCATAACAGATTAATATCACAATTCAAGAAATACTGCGGTAGTGCATTGTGGTGCTTTATTAGTGTTAGACATGCAATATTTATTTAATGAACAGAAATTAAAATATTAAGATAACATTTTAACCAAATTAAAGGAGTTGAAGTTGCAATAATGAAACAAAAATAAAGTTTTTCATGCATTCTAAGCTTATAGTTCTCACATGTGCATATAGTTGTGATTCTGTACCATTATTAAATGTAGACAAACTACCATTGATTGCACGAGACAAGATCAACCCTTAAGTTATAAGTAATGTTCATATCTTTTACAGACTTCCTATATAACCTGGATCTTCAGCTTTTTATAGTACATTGTAGTAATACAAGACATCTGGAAGCTTCTAAGATGAATAGGAATGGCTCTACCATTTGTACCATACAGCATCTTCTTCAATGTACCAATTACAAAAGATAAAGCAAATGCCCACCATGCTTCAGGAGACCATGACTTTTTCAACAGAAACAAATCTCAAACCCCTTCATAAACAGATTGAAGTGCTACCTATTGCATATTAAATACTTCCAGCGACTGTATCTACGTTTAGAAGTTATAAATCCCTGAAAATAGGGTTTCATACCAAAAGTGCTGACAGACCCTTAAATCTAGCATCATCAACACAGCAGCACTATAATCCTTCACCATGTACTTCAAAGAGAGGAGGTTAGTCAACATGCTTTAAAGATCACCATTTTAAAAGCCCACAGCTGACGCCTCTATCATATCTACAACAGTAATGGATATATAAAGAGCAAAAAAGCATGAGCTTACTTTACATACTTGATGTAGGACAATAATTTTTCTTTAAAGCTGGAAGTGTAACTAAACCTCCAGTGCAGCAGTAAACATATTAAGACAGCAGTTCTGTTTGTTTTAAGATGCATCTAAGAAAGGGCATCCTGTACAGAAAGAAATGCAGACTAGTACCTAATGAGCATGAGTTTCATTAGGTCCCCGAATCATGAAACCTTTCTAAATGCAAGGCAACATTTTCACAGCTGGAAAATTACAAATAGTTCTTGATACAGAGCCAACAGCAATAAATGTAGTTATGTATAATCTAGGGAGAATGCTACATTCATTAGTAGGTGGAAAACCAAGCTAAACGTAAAATACAGCAGCAAGAGGTAACATACATAAATATTAAACATTCTTCTTGAATGGCAGAAAGTTTAAATTTGTTACTTACAGCATTGAAGTATGGCCTTGATATTTGTTCTTTAAAGTAAGCAAAGTACATGGCCATGAGCTGAGCTATTTCAAAGGATAATTTCAAAGTATAGTGTGTGCACGGATGAACTCTTATGCTAATTTTTGAGAGAAAAAAATCAAAATAATGTGGAGATGTCCAAAATTTTCATCCCTACATTTTAAATGGCAAGGAAGACTGACCGTAAGTGGCAAGTCATTATGGTTTTAAAATGATCTGCAAGAAAGTTTACAATTTTATCCTATGGGAGAAACAGAACTTACTTTGTTTTCAACATATAAATTATTCTGTATGAAATGTTTTGATTCAAAAGCTGCAGCGTTCAAAAAATACATGTTGGGTGAAGATGCTTTTCAAAGAAAATCTTGAAATATAGAAAAATGTTAAGATTTTCTTTCTAAGCAGAAAATGACGTGCATGTAATCTTTCCAGAATTGCTCCAAAAGCAGCCTATATCTTTAGCTATAAGAACTCTATAAAAATATTTTCATAGTTGTAAATGTCCCACTCTGCCTCTCTTAGTAACTTTACCTTTTCCTAAATTCCATTTGTCATTCTCCTCTTTCTTGACAAACTGTTAGAAACAAAAGGTGCTTTTATTCACTTACAGATCAGATAAAGACTAGATAGCACATTCAAAGCTTCACTAAATTTCTCCACTAATGCACAAAAATTGATCTTTTCGCTACATTTAATCTGCTTATCGTTCTTGGTATGCAAATATGTCAAATGATCTGCTTTTAGTCAATTATGCAGTTTGATATTCTACATTTACATTCTAAAAGAAGTGATTTCAGAGGTGCTAAATATAGTAGAGTTTCATTTTAATAATTATAAGTTGGCTTGCAAGCGAAAAGTCATTAGAGCATATTCTCTGGTTAGTTTACTCGTTAAACCCCATTGGTGTGTATGATTTAATCATTGTAGATACTACAGATGGTCTCATACCAGTTAGTTTGAAAATGACTGTGGAATTCAAAACAATTGCACAACTCTTCCCCATTAACAGTATGAGAAAACCACTTGCTTTGGCCAAACATTTGAAAATGTTTAAGAACGTTTATGGAAATACTGAGTAACTGAAATACATCTTGGTGTAATTAGGAAATTAAAATCTATTTGAGTGCAAAACCTAACTTCCAACAGTAAACGTACCATAACTTAGTACATGACCTTTGGCACTTCGAATATATTACAACAAATTTACAGTCATTTAGATCTTAAGTGGGTCAAAAGAACATTCACGTGGTTTATGAGGTACCAAACTTGATAAATCCTTAGGTCGTCAAAAGAGAGACTACCTGATGAAGTGGGCCCGTTTCTGTGCTACAAATGTCTAAATGCAGCGCACTACAATTAGGTAGGGCTTGAACC